AGAAGGGGACCAGCACGGTAGCGATACGCACAACGGGGTATGAAAAGTCGTCTTTTACTGTTGTGCTTGGCTGCCATGCTAATGGACAGAAACTGCCGCCTATGGTGATTTTTAAGCGAAAGACTTTGCCTAAAGAGAAGTTTCCAGCAGGAATCATCATTAAGGCAAATGAAAAGGGCTGGATGGATGAGGAAATGATGAAAAAGTGGCTGAGGGAGGTGTATGTAAGGAGACCAGGTGGTTTTTTCCACGCATCACCATCGCTCTTAATCTGTGACTCTATGCGTGCCCATCTCACAGCCGATGTGAAAAAACTAGTGAAACAAATGAACTGTGAGCTTGCTGTCATTCCAGGAGGCCTGACAAAGGAACTCCAACCACTGGACATCGGTGTGAACTGCCCATTCAAAGTAAGGCTGCGAGCGGCCTGGGAGCGATGGATGACCAATGGAGACCACAGTTTCACCAAGAGTGGAAGGCATCGCCGGGCGAGTTACGCCACAATTTGCCAATGGATTGTAGATGCCTGGGCTAATATGTCTGCTGGCACTGTTGTTCGAGCTTTCGCAAAAGCCGGCATCATTTCCGAGGAGCCGCACGGCACGGAAAGTGACTCTGACGGTGAAGACAGTGAACTTAGCATGTTTGATGGAGATTTAGCGCAGCTGTTCAATTCAGACACAGAGGATGAGGACTTCGATGGGTTTGATTGATGATAAAAATGTGAGTACCAAACTTTGTTTTGCTCCTGCTTTATTTTTAAATATGCACACTTGTATGCTTGTGTGTTGTTGATGATGACGATTACCGGTAATAGAAATGTGAGTAAGGTACCGAACTCAGGTTTGCTCCCGCTTTATTTTTAAATACGCATACGGTACTTGTATGTGCCCTATAATCCAGTGCGCCTTATGTGTGTGTTAAATACAGTAATGGCACACATAACTGAGACTGCGCCTTTTAGTACAGTGCATCTTATGGTCGTGAAAATACGGTAATAAAATGTGCCCAGAGATGACTACTGTCGGGACAATCACATTGAACTAAAAATAACATTGAACTGAAGTGAGTATAAACAATGAGCATAGTTTGAAGAGTGAAATCGCTCAGGAAGTGCTTTAAACCTGCATTCTTTCTAAAGACAAGCCAGAGGTGACTCTTCTGGTTCCATGAAAGGCATGCAACAGTGCAAAAACTGCTACTTCCCTCTCTTGTTTTATGCCCTCCATAAAAAATTTCTTCAAGGCTTTATGTTATCAGTCAATAGTTTCAAGTAATTTTTAACCAAGCAATATGTTTACTTTGTAAATGACAATTGCATGTAAAAATACTTTTGAAAAACTAGTTGTTACTGTATGAGTGCCATGCATTCTCTTGCAAAAGAGCAAGATAGCAAAAAGAAAAAAAAAAAAAAAAAAGAGTCCACCCATCCATTTTCTTCCACTTATCCAATTTGGGGTTACAGTAGGGCTGGAACTACTCCCAGGTGTCACAGGGTAAGAGCAGTGGATACCCTAGATAGGTCACCAATTTGTTGCAGGGCTAACACAAAGAAACAGACAAGCATTCACAAACCTACGCCCGATTTAGAATATCTTTGGACTCAGACACGGGCCCCACACAGAAAGGCCCCGGCCAGCTGGTGGATTCAAACTCAGGAATGGCTTGTTCTGGGGCAGTGGTGCTAACCACCACACCACTAGGCGAAGTCAAAGTGGCATTTATTACACGCTAACACACATGGATTTGGAATACATACAGCTCTAATTGCAGTGTGGTGTACTAACTGCCCCCTCAATGATTGGGGGTAGTGAGTTACTTTGGTAAGCCTGTCAAACTAGACAGCTTTTCTTTTTCTTCAGCAACTGTGTTACTTTCAGTCTTTGTTACACGTGCCTCATTATGTGGTTTGCACTTCTTGTGAGAGAACTGCAGCTTTATACCTGTCTGCTTTCTTTTTTAAAATTTCAAAAACCTGGGTTTACTTGCCAGGTTATTAATCACAATGGTGTGACCGCTTCACTGCAGTCTTTCAGCACAGAGAAGTCAGGAAACAATTGGTTGGAGTCTTCTTATTTCAAGGTTTAGCTGTGAAATCAACAGTTGAATCACAGCAAATATGTCAATCTTTTCAGAAGTCATCTACACAAAAGCACGGCGTTAATGACACTTGCTCTCTAGCCTTGGATATTCTGAATGACTACAACAGCAGACAGTAACTTTGATCAGAAGCAAAACAATACCCGAGGTGTCACAGAATGCTCTGCCTCGATTCATAATTAAATTCCAGGAACTGCATCCCATTATGCACTCATACCCTGGGTCAGGGTGTTAGCCTGACAAAGAATGAAAAGGACGGAAGCAACACTATGTAGTACGTAATATTACATGTAGGACTTTCCGAAGCTTAACAACTCTAAACGGGAGACACGTGTGTGGCGGCTGGATATGCAGATTGGAGAGCAAATTGAGAGAGGAACATCCTGCTTTAAACCTAAATGACTGCTGCCATCCATCACGCCTCGCACTGCACGACTCATGTTTGTCTTTGCGTATGTTTAGGTGTGTTGGTTTGCACTGCGCATTTCCATAATTGCATTTGCTGTGGGAAGAGAAGCACTTACTCTCATTTTCGGCTGTGATTTATCAACCCGAGCGATTCGAGCCAATGCACACACTCATTTATCTCTGCGATGACCTTTTTCCCCAGCAAAAGGAACGGCTGCCATCTTTGTTTTTTTGTTTTTTTTTCTTCCTCTTTTTTAAGCTGCTTCTTACCCCTTGTCATGGAAGCGAGTATGGTTTTGACATTGATGGCATGCCATTCAGGAATAATTACTATTTCAAGAAAAGGCTTCTTTCAGTTTGTCACTTGTGTGGCTGTTATTATGGAGAAAGTGAATAATGGATGCTGGGAGAAACAAGTAAAAATAGAAGCTTTGTGTCGCTTCGGTTAAACTGGATTGAATATAATGTCAGCGAGTCTGAGGGAGGTACTGAAGACAGAAAGAAAGTACAAACTAAAAGATTTGACCTGAAAACTTCAAGGTCCTGGCTTCCAAAATAACCAAAATAAAAGTGTTTACTGATTTCCCTTGAGATAATAATGTGAGTACAAGGTGAATGTGCATTTGTTGTTTGAGGGTCGCTCTCTTTGAGGCTTCACAGAGCGTGAAAATAAAATCTTGTCAAAAGGAAAAGATCCGGATCAATCACTCTGTAATGTACAGCAGTGGCACCAATGAATGGCTGTAATTGCAACATTTCATATAAGGCAGATGGGAATGCTTTTTTTTTTAACGGTGCAACATATACGAGTAATTAGCCGTTACTGTCTGCTGTTGCTTTTTTGTAGTCCGCGGCAATAAGAACCAAGACTTGGTTTTTGTTCATATATATAAAAAATAAAGTGACATTTTAATGGTCACCATGACAACAAAAGCTGGTATTTTCTCTGTAGCTCCAGTTAAGCGACTCCATGACCTCGTGGGGTTTGACGGAGAATTTTAGGACACCTTTCCTTCATTAAAAAAAAAAAACAAAACTCATTAGTGAAACTCCTTAGAGTTGACATTTGCCAAATCCGTGGCTCTCACTAGAGAGAAATTGTAGTCATTTCATAGCCAAAGATGCATTTCAAACCACAAGAACACACAGCCACGAATAAAGATTTGTGGATTCAAATGACACGTTTGTTTCTTCTCCTCATCTTCTTCTTCGGTCGTGGGTGAACTCAGTGAAGTGTGGTGCTGCGTTTTGCTGCACAGTGACTGCAGTGTTTTGATTCACACCACTGACTGACTTTCTCCCATAGCAACAGTGCCCGAGGCTCACTGGTAGAGCCATCTGCCGCGCCACAATGAGAGACAAAATGTGACTTCTTCGAAACAAAGCTATAATGAAATTGAATGAAGCGATGTTTCCATAAAACCAGCAGCGCCTCCGTCTTCAGCCCTCTGTGCATTACCAGTACGTGCACTGTTGTATTTGGCCCAGGACACACAATCTGTGGTTGACTCTCTAATGATTGGATTCTTTTAAGTCAGTTTTTGTACCTGTGATTATAATCAAAATACAATTTAAGTAGCTCTCATCCATATACATATGAATACTGTCAAATCTGTGTCTCATCTGTAATATAGAGTGATCAGTTGTGACAATAAACTCAGGCATGTGACATAAGAATCGAATAAAATCAGTTGTGGAAATTGCCTTAACACATATCACCCACCTAAAAATTGTAGCAGAACAAGTAACAATAGCAGTGACACTCCCCGATGACTGTGGTCTCTCAGAAGACTATCCAGGTAGATCCTGAGCTGAAAACCTAAGGGTGTTTTTCCCTCCTCATTCCAGCAACACAACAAACACAGTAAACTAGACAAAAGACTCACACGGATGAACTTTCCACAGGATTCACCTTTACAGAAACACATAGGCCAGGGATGTCAAACTCATCCACTTTAACTGATAAAACTGCCCAGACATTTCTGTCATTTACTGGTTTATCTATTACAGAACTACTTTCGTGTGGTATGAATGGCAGTGTCTGTATCAATAGGCAAATCTGTAAAACTTATGAAAATACAGTTAGGAGTTTAAAATCTGTGCACTTCTTCACATTTTCCAAAGCCTTCCAGTCGGCCAGATCGGAGTCTTTGCCGGCCTTATTCTGGGCCCTGGGCCTTATGTTTGACACCCCTGACATAGGCCTTACCTAAACACCCACAAAAGCAAGAGGTGCCAGACACACCCAGACGTCACATGAGCCTTTTAAGCAGCACTAAGGGGACTTGCACAGTATTAGGCAGGTGTTTTAATGTTTTGGCATATGGCTGTAAATGCATTTGGTATGCAACCCCAGTAAATTTCCCATAAATCCTTCCTGCCTAAGTCATATCCTTTGAGCACGACACTCATGCCGTAATTCCAGCCTATGCTGTACGATGATGAACACAAACACACACGCACAGCCAGATGGGCTTTCTGGCAGCTTCTACCTTGTCTCCGTCCACGAAGGTTTGACCGTCGCTGGCTCTTCTCCAGGAAATGTCAGGCAGAGGCTCGCCCTCAGCCACGCAGGAGATCATGGCAGCGCTGCCCTCTACGGCTGTCACGTTTTTCAGCTGGGTGATATGGGGCTGGACTGGAGATCACAGAGGACAAGCGGGGGAGAGAAGGTAAATAAGAGAAAAAAAGTGAGTAGAGGAGAACAGATTTGAAGGCCAGAAGAAAAGGTGTGAGTAAGGAAGGAGAAGTGAATAAAAGGATGAGCAGGAGAGAAACTGTCAAAGATCTAACTCATAAAGTGAGTTAGAAGATGAAGGCTATACCATGGGGTTTAAACACCGAGCTGATGCATGACTTTGGTACTGACAGTGTAGGCCAAGATAATTTATACAGTGCAGTCATACTCTACAGGTTTGATATAGTGAGAAAGCATAGCCTCTGGCCTATTTTGCACACACTCATTGGACTAGATGAGAAAACTGACTTTGCTAAAGTTTGAAAGAACAAATCAACTGATCCACGTTTTTTATTTTAAATGAATACAGATTTCTGTCTGGAAGGATGCCTCTCCAGCACCGTGTGATTTGCTTTTGGCACAGAGTGAGCACCGCGATAAGTGCTGAAAAGCGTGCCGTTGGGGGCTGGTCCCTGCTCGCCTCCCCCTGATAAGATGCTCTAAGCAAGCCCTGAAACCTGATGCATGTCAAGGGCATAGAGCATGTCACATGAATCATGGATTACTTCTTTTTTTCCCCCCACACACACTGCACTTACGTTGTTAACAGGGTGCTTGCAAAGTAGCATGGCATAAAATCCGAAAGGCAAAGGGAAGTGAACAGGAAATAGTGACTACTGTACTGAAGGCTTTTAACACCGCCCGGGGGGAAGTGTTTGGCAATTTCACATGGCTTCAACCTCGAGGTGAAGGAGCCATCTTGAGGGATTTTGGGAGCTTGTCAAAACATGGGGGTCACAAAAACATACACACAGGCAACCAGGCAAATATTCCTCTGCCTACAAGGACTTTTAGTAAGTGACCAAACTGCGTAGGCACAAATAACCAACAAAGATGGTTAGACAAAATTAGCCTGAATCTCAACTTTAATAAAAAAAAAAAGGTTTACAGTAACAATAAACTCACTAAAAACATTTACGAAAATGGCTCGATTTAACTTACTGTATTCATGAGAAATTCACAAGTTTTGTTATTGGATGGTAGATGAGACATGGTTTAAAGGTTTAGGATGATATCACTGCAACAGCCCTTTAAAAAGGTTCTTGGTTTGAAACAACCCTTCTGGAAGTAATAAAAAAATCATTAAAACTACAATCACAGGTGGGAAATGTACACACATGCTTCACACAGAGAAAAAGTTGAAGTACTGATTCAACTTCTTTACTCAAGTCAAAGTGAAAAAGTTCTGGCTCTGAATGAATGTACTTACAGCGTCAAAGTATAAAGCAGCTCTTTGAAGGACTTTTCAAGCAGCTATTTTTGTGTAACTGACCTTCGTTTCCTGTCATGATGTCACAAACTGTACTTTTCTCTGTCATAGACGGGTTTGCTTTGCACTCGTTTTCCCCTTTCAATATGTTATTTTGCCTCTTTCATCTCTGTCTCAGATCCCTTCCCTTCATTTAGGTTCAAATCAGTTTGATATCGAGAAGGCGCGCAGTGACAGGAAATAATCAATAGCAGCCCTCACATATCTTGAAGCAAAAGTAATAAGGCTCCTTTGAAAATGTACAAATGTTGAGAGCGAGAGTAAGAAAAAGCTTACTTTCTCACTGTGTCAGAAAAACAAAGGGTTCTAGTAAGTTGTAGATACTTGGGGATACCTAGGGATTAGCGAATGGTCAGTTGCACCAACAAAGAAAACAGCCAATAAACAAGAAAAGGGGGTTTGTCAGATTACTGTATTTGGAGATAAAATAGTAAGATATAATTTGAGCAATTTAATCAGGTATGTGCAGAGGTTAATGTGGGCTGGATAATCTAGCTGTACTCTAACTGTACTGAGAGAATTAATAAGCAACGCAATCTGATATGCATTGAAGCAGGTTAATGCATGTCATTCTTGAATGAGTTAATCTTTCATGTGCTGCAGCCTGGCATTGCTTCTAGTGACAGTGTGGAGTTAGTGGACAGTGGTGAGAAAATAATGACATCACACAGCCCCGTTACACCCTCCAGACATTAGTTTTTTTCTTTTTATTACTTTGATGCGTTCATGGTGCAAATGTCAATGAAGTTGTGCATGTGTCAAGCTAGCACTACAGAAGACGAGCTTCCATGAATGGAGTAAAGAATTTTTAGGTGGCAGGCAATTGCAGCTCATCAAACATCATCAAAAGTTGGTAAGCTAAAGGTACAGTTGGGAAACAAAGGGGGATTGCACTTTCCACAAGCTAGCAGCAATACTGTGGAATGGTTTACCTCCTCTACGCACCATCGACTCTGTGGCTTCTTTTAAAAAACAGCTGAAAACACATCTATTTAGATAGACATCTGGGTCATGTTCTTGTTTTTGTGTAAAGCACTTTGTAACAGATTCCTGTCTTAAAAAGTGCTATATAACTAAATTTTACTTACTTACTACTAGTCTAAGGAGCTTGGAAAAAGAAAAGCATCTGGATTTCTTTAAATTGCTTGAAGACGTTTCACCTCTCATCCGAGAAGCTTCTTCTGTCACGATCCTGGGTCTTTTGACCCAGCGTTTTGAGTTTTAGTTTATGTTTAAGCCCTTCAGGTTTTCTAAGTTCATTTTTTATCATGCCTAGGTTGTTCTAGTTCTTTGTTATTAGATTCCCCTTGTGTCTTCCGCCCATGTCAAGTCTCCCTTCCCCTTCATGTGTTTAATGTCTGTGTCTTACGTTTTCAAGTTCAGGTTGTCATGTCTGCGTCTTATGTTTCCTGTTTTATTTTGAAGAGGTCTGGTGTTCCTGTGTTCATCGTGTTAAGTTTTACTCTTCCACTGTGACGTCGTTATGTTCATGTGTCAGCTGTTTCCCCATGTGTTCCCACTTCCCTCATTATCCTCCTGTGTGTATTTAGTCCGTGTGCTTTCAGTCATTCTTTGTCAGGTCGTCTGCTCATCCATGTCACAACTTCAGGTACAGTATCTATGTCAGTTCACCATGTTTAAGGTTTTTTCATGTTTAGTTTTAGTTCACCCAGTTTAGGTTATTGTTTAGTTTCACCAATGCCCTTTTGTTTGTACCCTCTTTGCTAGCCTCAATAAACGGCTTGTTTTTTGTTAAATCCACGCCACGTTCAGTTTTTGGTCTGCGTTTGAGTCCTCTTTTGCAAACACATACAGTCTACCCCAACCAGACTGTGACATCTTCAGTTATAAGGTAAAATGTTAGAGAGTCCCAGATTTAAGCCCTATGAGAGTATCCCCCCAAGAGGGACGATGGACCCCCTAATGATCCTCTACCTATTTACATAAGCCAATGTGTGAAAATAGGTGTAGGTCACAATCAGCCAAGGTTTCCTAGCTCCACCCTATCATGTGACTTCCTGAGGTGCATTGGTGACCTCAGGAAATCACACGATAGGGTAGGGGCTATGTTTCACAATGAGTTCACCCGAAACCTTGGCTGATGGACCCCCTGTCCATCGTCCCTCTTGGGGGGAACACTCCCATAGGGTTTAAATCTGGGACTCTCCACCATTTGACCTTAAAACTGAAGAACCTTCTTGGATGAGAGGTGAAACGTCTTCTAGCAACTTAAAGAAGTCCAGACACTTTTTTCCCCCAAGCTCCTTAGACTACAATGACCTGGATGACTGAGAACCTTCACAGACATACTTACTACTAGTTGCTTTATTTCTCAGGGAGAGTAACAAATGTTAACGTTTGACACAGACATTTTTTTCAAAGATAAGAATTGCTCAGCGAAGTGAAATTTTTTGAACTGGAAATGCAATCAGATATTGGATCCATACATGATGTGTTGAATTATGTTTTTGTGAAACATCTCACAAAACGAACTGAAGTATAGGAGTTTTGCATTATTCAAGGTTGCATGAAAGTTCTGCACTTTGACAAAAATGTCCAACTTAGTAGACATTTATGGTCCCAATAAATTGAGTCATTGGGGGTTTTTTTATGAAGAATGTTTACATATGGCACGTGGTATTGTAATGTTAGTCAGCTAATAGCCAAGCAGCCAAGGAGCTAATGAGTCATCTCATTTTTACATTTTTTTTCTTGACTTTTGGCCTCCCTGTGAGTCCTGAATCTAACATCTTCCATATGCCAGCATGTGCAGAAAGTATCTTATCATTGATAAGACACTTTTGTATTTCTATAAGCATTTTGGATATGATTGATGCCTTGTGCCCGGTCTCAGTGCAGTTATACGAATATCGGCAGGAGGTAGGGATGAAGCAAACAATAAAAAAGAAAATCACTTAACAATAAACATCTTCTCAAATCCCAGCACAAACAACCACATTAATGGCTTATTTACGCTACAACCAAGTCCTCAACTCTTGTTTTCCTCAATCAAGTCAAATAGATTTGTTGGGAATAGCAAGGATAATTTTACTTGTTTCAACAACAAATCAGCGCACTTCAGAACTCATTCAGAATCAAGTGTCCTTTTCTTGAAAATAGTGCAACAATCTGCTTGATTCTGTTTTGTGTCAATACAAAAGGCCACATAGAGAAGAGGCGAAATTATCTCAACCGTCGGGTTTTCCCCCCCCTTTTTTTGCTATAAGGCCCCATAATGAGGCACAATTTCTTTGTTAGGATGATGTCTGCAGAGTGAAAGATGTTAAAAGCATCATGTTCTGACAGCTCTTCGTGTGCAAACATACAAATACAGATTCAAAACGATCCGACTGCCAAACACAGAAAACTGTTAATGGCTGAAACTGGTCTGAACCAGTTCTACAGTTCCTATCCACAGCTGTTTGCCTCAAATGCCCTTCATCATAAAAATATTAAATGAAAAAACTCTCATTTGTCAAGCGTGATGCAAAAACCACTCTGCAGGGACTGCTATTAATAACGTTTTATTGAAAACATTTCCTCTTTAAATGAGAAGCGTTCTTTACGCTAAAAGACAAAAATCCTAAATTTATTTGACCTTGGATTTTTACTAAGTGAACTTTATTCTTAT